AAAGCTCAGTTCTGTCCTTGACACGAGGCGTGGATCACTGGGGTTTGGGGAAGCAGCGCTGGGAGGCGGGAGGGGAAAGGGGCAGCTGGGGGTGTTTTGGTTTGGGGTGTTTGTGGTTTTTAACCGCAGCAGAGGAAATGCTCGGGTTTAATCAAGAAGGGGTTTAATCCTTGCAGAGCTGGCAAAGCAGGAGTCTGAACTCAGCCTGTAGACCAGGGCAGCAAAAGCTGCTCCGTGCTCTCTTGTGTTTGTGCCCACAGAGCCAGCACATCACCCCTCTGCCCCTGTCCCTGGGGATTCAGTGGTGCCCTGGGAGCTCGACCTGCCCTGACCTGCCGTGGGACACGTCCGTGCACAGCCCCCCCATCCAGCCATGCTGCACTTCCTCTGGGACAGCATCTCCTTCCATACGCTCCTCATCTTCCTCATTGTCTTCCTGTTTGTCGCTGACTACATGAAGAACAGAAACCCAAAGAACTTCCCTCCCACCCCTTTACGCCTTCCCTTTTTGGGACACATCTACATGATGGACTTCAAAGCTCCGCATATCACAGTGCAGAAGGTACAGGGGTGGTGGGCACTGTGTCGGAAGCAACAGAGGGAACTGCCCCTACAGGGAATGGATTAAACCAGTCCCCATGGGCCAGGAAGGCAGGCAGGAGGTTTGCCCTCAACGGTTTACCTGGGTACATAGTGGGGCACAAGTGTGCAGTGATCCCTGGGGCAAAGGGCACAACATGATCCCACAGGAGCAGTTGCAGCTGTAGGAGCCCCGTAGGTCTGAGTGTGGGCTGGAACGTTGTTTGGGAAGGGAAAAGCTAGAAAAACACAGAACTACAAAATGAAACCTGGAGAGGTTTACTTGATTTAGTGATCAGTGATTCAGAAAAAGAGGAAAGAGAAAACACTGTGCAATCAGGCAGAGATTTGTACAAAAATTCTTTGTCTCCTCACACTGTCAGCTTCCCTTATTTTCACCTGTACGCCCTGACAGGTCTGTCCCTGTCTCAACAGACACATTCACTTCAAATGAAACCCCCTTTATCATTTCCTCTCCCAGTACACTAAAAAATATGGTGACATCTTCGGCATGTCCATGGGCAGCATGAAGCTTGTGGTAGTAAATGGGATGCGGCTGGTTAAGGAAGTGCTTGTAAACCAAGGGGATAACTTTTTGGATCGCCCAGAAATTCCTATGGATATGTTCAGCAAGATAGGTGAGTGATCTCTCAAGACATGCACCTCAGCTGTAAGGTTCAGGTGCTGGCCCTGCAGAGGTCTGAGACAGCTGGGGAGAAGGCAGAGCCCTGGAGCTTTTTCCCCTCAGTGGGGGATCAGCCTTGGCTCACGGGGGCTGTTTCTGCCAGGACTGATCTCCTCCAATGGGCACTTGTGGAAGGCACAGAGGAGGTTCACCCTGAGCACCCTCCGAAACTTTGGCTTGGGGAAGAGGAGCGTGGAGGAGCGCATCCAGGAGGAGTGCCGATTCCTCGTGGATGCCTTTAAGGATGAGCAGGGTGAGTGCCACGTGCCTCCCTCAGCAGCTGTGCTGAAGGCAGGACCTGGTACGGCCTGGTATCATTTCACCCGTGGTTCACTGCATGCTGAAAAATACCTCACCTTACAAGGGATGCTGCAGCCCCACCAGCATCCCTGCTCCCTCCTGCAGGGGTTTGGCCTTCAAAGTGACTGGAGAGTGCAGGCAGGGAACACCCCATGCATTATTCATAGCCCACCTTCAGCCTCCTGCTCTCTCTGAGATCTCTGGGAAATACCATGTGTGTATAAACACTGATGTTCCCAAGGAATTCCAGTGACAGAAACAATGATATTTCCAATGTATTCCAATGACATCCCTCTCCTGCAGATCTTGCTTTTCAAAGGAAATAAACATCTCCATAATCTGATAGAACTGGGACTACTGGGGTTTCCCAGACAAGCTTGGCCAGCTCGTGGGGGCAGTGAGGTGTCCAAGCAAAGCAGTGACACAGGATGGTCACTGGGACCACTCTTTTAATTTGTATTGGTTGACTATTTTACCTTTACCAGTTGTGTTGTCTTCTCCTTTTCTGAGAAGACCAGAAGAGAATTGATCTTTTCCTTCTCCAGGGAATCCTTTCAACCCTCAGTTTACACTCACTAACGCTGTTTCAAACGTCATCTGCTCCCT